CTTAATCATATTTAGATACTTTAACACAATTGTTTCGTGTTAGCAGGGTAGGACATGAAACAATTGTTTTAAAGTATCTCAATATGATTAAATAAATGCTAAAAGGGGTTGGATTATTTTTTTCATTGTGTTTGTGTCATTTGTTAATAACTGTATCTTTTTGTATCAGATAAGGCATGTGCAACATTTGCCATCATTGTGTCTTTTTTTCACTTAAATAGAGAAAAAAACAGTAAAGTTTTTTTGTTTTGTTTTTTTTAAACTGTATCGGTCGATCTCTTTTTACAGTACAACATTACATCAATATAAGGGGGAAAAAGTGGCACAATCCTCACTGTGAAGCATGTTAGAGGAGCTATGGTGCTGTGGGCCTGTTTAAAAGAAGCCAATCAAGGCATTAGGAAGTCTTTAAAACACTAGGGCACTTTTATAGCGATGCACCGATCCAGTTTTTTCCAATTCAGTCTAATACCGATACCTTGGCTGAGTGTATCTGCATATATCCCATAATAATCTGATTCAACTGAACTATATATTTTGCCATTTGACTGAAGGATTTGGCCCAGATATAAACGTTGTTAAAAAAAGGTAATATATTAACTCTATTATTTATTAACAAATAAGTAGCAAAATAAACAAATAACAGTTCTTTGTAAAGTGCACTGGATTGGATGTCCGATATCAAATCTCCAATATCTGATTGACTTTATTAGTCAATATTGGAGCCAATATCTGATCCAGGTATCTGATTAGTGCGTCTCTACATCTTATAAAAAAAAATAAAAAAATCTGGTAGCTTTTTCCATTTAATAAAATACAGAATAGGAGACGATGGCTGAATGTGGCTGTTTAGATTTTTTTAAATAAAGGGGTATCGGTAACTGCAACTCCAGGGATTTTATGAAAAAAATTATGGCATATTTCTCCCTACTCAATAAATTTCCATTTAGGTTTGCTTTTCTAGATGCCTCTGTGTGAAATTACACTCTTGCAATAAAAAATAAATTTTCTTTAAAGCTTCTTACACGTTATTGCCAGGGGTGCCAATAAATGTGTCCAGGACTGTAGATAGAGGTTCATGATAAAGATAAAGATTTACTGTAACTTTTCAAGCTTTAGTCTCTTTAACCGTCAGTGTTGGTGGGAACAAACAGAAAGGGACCATACCAAAGTTTTTTTTGTTGTTGTTTTTTTCCATTAGCCCATTCACTACAGCTCACAAAAGTGATGTTTGTTCAGTTTTCTTTTTTATTTTACATAATAACAAAATGATGAAAAGAATAACTATATATGTATCCATACAGTACATGCAGTCATGGTAGATCGATACAAAAGTTCTGCACCAATTACACAACATTGGTTGGTTTTACATGCAACCAAAATGTACAATAACTCTCAAAAGCAAAACAAGGTTGACGATGGAAAAAGTAACACAATCATTTAATAAAGAAAACCTTTAGTCATGAGCAAACGGAGACCATCACTCTCACAGATGACAGTAAACTTATGTAACAGTTATTATATAAAATGACAATTAGGGAAACGTATTATACAAGGTTGTTCACAGATGGCTTCTCTCTGGATTTATTTATGTAAAGTGGTTTAAAAATATTTTATCCTGGAACTGGAGAGCAGGATTCAGGTTTTTTAAGAGTTGCTGCAGGTCCTAAGCACCATTTGTTTAAAGCAACAAGAAGCTCATAAGTCTACTACTTTATATCAACACATGAAGCCGGGAGTTTTTTTTAATTGTTATTGTTTCCTTTAAACTGCATTATTATGTCTTCATTTTCACATCGATTTGGATAAAAGTTTCCACCAAATACACATACCTAAGCATGAAAGGTGAAACCTGAAATTATTCATACCCCTCAGGGATTTGGAGGATATACAAAAGCAGCTCAATCATAAGGGGTTTTTTTTTCTGATAGGAAATTAGATTTGCTTATCAAAAAAAAAAAGGGGGGGGGGGGGTAATTGTAAAAGGAGTAGCAATTAAAAAAAAAAAAGTTCAGTTTAAATTACCACTTTAAATTGATAATATATTTATGCATTTCAGTTTTAAAAAATCCTTTCTATAAAATATTGCTTGCATGTTTTAACTGGTATGTACGGAGCCCCTAAAGGGACATGGAGGGAAAAAATAAACTTTTGCGAGATCCCGCAATACTTTTGCGAGATTATGCAAAACTATTGCGGGATCTCGCAAAAGTTTTTTTTTCCCCTCCATGTCCCTTTAGAGGCTCCGTAGGTATGCTACTCTCACCCTAATCTTTCTATTACTGTAGGTTTAAGTCGGAACTTTTGCTGAACCAAACATTAACAGAACCAAAAATTTCAATATAACGTTAAACCTAAAACTTCTAGTAGTATGAATAATTTTTGGCTTTACTGTATACGTAACTGATGTTGAAATCCCCTGAGCTGAAATAAGGTTACAGAACAATAAATAAAGTGATGAGTATAAACAATCACCTCATACTATATGAGCTGCTCTGTTTTCATTTGCTCTTTCCTCCCAGACACTCATTCCTTCCCAATAAACATAACAAGCTGGCAGTGACTGGATAAGTATTTGAATTTATTGATAACTGTATAATTTGTATTTTGATATTGTAGAGCATGCTCACTTATATGCATTAAACAACAACAACAAAATCCTTTAAAAAAACAAATAGCTTTCATGCAATCTGATTTTCACACTGTAGGTTATCCGTGACATATAAGTCCATGAATTTTATTTGAAGGGCTCAAATACAAATAAAAAAACAACAAAAAAGAAACAATGGCATGGTCCTTTTATCTTTAAAGGGATAGTTCAGATTTCTTGTGTTGAGGTTTCATAAGTTTATTTAGCCATAATAATTCCCCCAGTAGCAGACATCAATATGTAGAAAAGTATTCAGAGCAAGTAGATACTTTACTATAAATAACAGGATATAACTTATCTACCTATTTCTAAGACATTTTTGTTAACTTTGTTGCTGTTTTACAGTGAAATAACTGCAGTGTTGCTAAGCTAAAGCTAAGTTATTGGAAGGTGGGCGCAGTATTAATCCACCAAACAGCTATAAGTCCTACAATCACACAAAAAATATAATCAGTCAGAGTTACAGCACGTTGGCAATTATTGATACATCCCACTTCCTTAATCGACATAAGCGTAGGGCTGGGCAATAAAAATAAAAAAATCAAATTTTTGATTTTTTTCCCCCAACTAAATATGATTGTTTGATTTTTTTTTTTTTCTAATTGAAGTTTCATAGTAAAAAAATATAAACGACATATTACTTTCAAAACCTAGCTTTTATTTTTATATCCCTTCTGGGGACTTATTTTAAAGGGGAACACATTTGAAGCTACAAAAAAATGCTGCGAAACAATCCATGTTTCAGAGCAAACAATTAATATATTACACACTCAGTGCTTGCCGCTATTGGTATTACACAGTTAGCTAGTTTTAGGTTATAAGTAGTAGAGCAAATAGTGATGCAATAATGTCACTGAGCATAGTGAAAAAAATCTTTCTTTATAAACAAATATTTCGAATAAATAGACAGTTAGCCAAGTTTAGCGACGAACGTGTGTTGTTTAGCTGAGATAGAGATGACGGGCTAATAAAGATCTCTTGTTGAAGTGAAGATAATATCAACATAAAAAGTGTTGTATTGGGCAAATATGTTTTTTTTTTACTTTGAGGATTGTTTGGCTGCTTAAATCAGCAAAGAACAGATTATCTGCTTGATTATCTTCTAGCCTTCGACCACTCTGTGGTATTAATCTTCTACAAACATAATGGCCGTGTCCGTGTGTCCGGAAAATTAGTGATCATCCATGGTTACTAGGCGAACTGATATATCCCAGCATGCTTTGCAGGGAGAACTATCCTTGTAAAGCATTATGGGATTTGTTATCACGGTGACAAATAGCAAAGATGGTGCAGGCACCGTCCAGGGAGGCGGAGTCATGTGAACAATGGTCAGTTAACTGAGTTAACTATAAAGTCCACTATACTGTATAATCCTTGCTCTATATAATGATTGAGGGATCTAGGGATTAGGGTGGACGTTTGAACATGGCCCTGTGTCACACCTATGGGACACAAGGCTGAAAAATATATCCCTATATATACCTCTCATATCAGTTAAGGTTGGTAATTTTTGAGTTCTTTTTCCCCCTTTTTGAAATGAGAACCCATAACAAAAAGCCTGAAACTAAACTGTAACCCTAACCCTATTTAAACATAGCCACTAACCTTTAAAACAGTCCAGTCCTACTACCGGTCTTGCTTAGTTTGACAATAAGAGAGTAAAACGCTAAATTAAAGTTAACAAAATTTTACCAGACATATTTTTACTATTGTTGCGCAGATGCCATTTGACCCGATACCGATACCAAAGCAATATCATCTGTTTGAAATTGATGTGTGTGTGTATATATGAAGAACTGCATACTACTTGGATGTAAAATAATTGCCATCATGGCTTTGTCAAGCTGCTGCCTACCTTTGTGAAGCAAAAAAAAGACTAATACAAAGTGAATCCAGTAGAACCTTTAATGCCTACCTGGAATGGGTCACAATGGTTGAATAAACTTTTGGCTCTCAAAATGGCATCGTGCCCTAATTGTTGGTACTCCCCAATACAGATACTACCATTTTAGTGCTGGATCCGGGCCCCGCCTGATACTGGTATTAGTATCCGTGCAACACTATGTTTTACATTGATATTTTTCAGGCGTCTATCACAATATATATTGATATGGATTTATTGCCCAGCCCAAAGACATCTCTGTAAGACAGGGAACGATTGCTCATAAAAACTTCATAGAACCTCACTTTTAAAATTCAGAACTAACCCTTTAAGTTTGGTCAAAATGGCTAATACTTATACTTTTTTTAAAACACAAATGGTGTACTTTGAAAATGAAAAATCTCCAAACTGTGGGTCATCAGATGGCTGCCTTCCTCCTGCCAATCATTCCCTTCTGCGGTGTCCTACCTGAGCGTCCACAGTCCGCACAGGAGATAAGGTCTTCAGGACACCCCGTCTTCTTTGAGCCTCCGAGGCAAAAGTCGCAGTAGCCGTTGGCGATCACCGAGCCGTCCGGTGCTTTCTTAGCTGAAAGAAGAACATGAAAAAACAGGTACTTTAGGTTAACTGCTCTCCGGAGTAAAAGTGGGTGAAGAGTAAACTGAAAACTCATAAGTCAGAGTTATGAAGTGTTGTCCTGGGATGGGGACCCAGTGTCAGTCTCTTGACAGTAAGAGGGATTGAAAACTGTTGAAAAACTAAGAGGTCCACAAAGCAGCCATCACCGAGATGTGACGAAGAGTACCGTGGAGTATCACTAAAGGAGTGTGATTACACACAAAATGCTGAGATGTAAGACAAAGGAGAAGAAAAGAGACAAGTCACTAAGCCCCTGTTGTCCCTGTTGTCTCGTTATGTTTCCTTTAAAAAAACATCAGGCTGCGCCGGAGCCAGGGACTCGACAAGCCCAAACTCATGAAGGAGGCAGGGGCTCCAGGTAAATAATGCTGGGAGAAAAGAAAAAGATGAGTAAGAAACTTAAGACAGAACAGAAAGCTGATAGGACTGAGTGTACTTGTTCCTGACGGAAAGATGAAGGGACAGACCTGACATCACACTGAGCAAAGGGAACAAGTGCTCAGTGTGGCGCCGTTTCATAATAATTATTACCAAGTGAGAGATTCCCCCTGCCTGCCGGAGAGCTGCGTACGTACAGTACGTGGGCATATCTGTGTGTATCTGTTCCACATGTAACCCCAACCATCTTCCAGCCTGTCTCTCTGAAGCTGGTTGCATAATCCCTTTAATGGAGGCCATCACTGCACTCTGCTGTGTACGTAGGCTTTCTTCTCTAAGATGTAGCATTGCGTACTGGCCCTTCAATGGTGAGTCACCAAGCAGGATGGAACCAAAATATTTCACAATTCACAGATGAACACTAAAATACTCGCAGTGCCTTGCAAATGAATGCATACCCCTTGAACTTCCTCACTTTTTGCTGAGTTAGAGCCAGAAACTTCAATGTTACTGATCCGCCGGATTCAGTACTTTGTTGAAGCTTTTGCTGCAGTAAGAGCTCCAAGTCTTTAGGGACTTGAACAACAAGATGTTTTAAAAAAACATCTCAAAATCAGACGGATGGATTGCAATGTGGATATCAATATTAAAGCCGTGCCACAGACTCACACAGACACCTTTAAGTCTGAAAACGAAGCCTCTATTTCTGCCAATCTTCCTCATCGCCTGTATTACGTTTAAAGCTTTGAACATTGTTTTATTGAGTTTTCACAGCTTTAAAGGTGTCATGGAATGCAAAACTGAGTTTACGCTGTCATAGGTGAATAACAATAGTTCAGTGGGTGATATGGACGTACAGAGATGTTCGAACCCTAACAACACCTCCTTTCTCTGCAATTCTCACAATTCTAAACTTTCACCATAAAATGGGAGAATTCAAAAGAAGCCCCGAATTGACATCAATTCGGGGATGTTGTGGCCCAAGAACATAAATAGAGATAGATGTAAGACACCAGTTTAGCTGTTGCAGGTTGCATGGAGAACGGGGAAATTTTCAGTCTTCCCAAGGATCCAAAGACTCGATAGGTATGGATTATTTTTGTCTATCAGAAGATCCCTGCAAAGTTTAATGCTCAGCTGCTCATTTGGTCTAAGCATTTTACCAAAGAAAAGCTTTCAAAATCTTGGACATTTCAAAGCAGGATTTTCCAAACTTCTTTTATTGAAAAGAGGGGCTGTTCTGACCGTAAGGTCATCACAACCGCAAGCTGTAAGTATTATTTTAATTCATTAATTTTATTATTGGCCACCACGCCATTATTTTGGCCTGCTGGGCCGCTGACTAGACTGGACCAGGCATTTGAACCGGGGGTTCCCTGACCAGCTCTGAGCTGACGATTCGGTTCTGCTGCACTGTAGTCGACCAAAATCTCGGACGATTTTGAAATTCCCCCAAGACATTTTTTTAGGTATAAAAAGTAGGACATGTCCGAGAAAAAGAGGATGTCTGGTCACCCTACCATATCAGCAATTTGATGTTTCAGTGAGTTTCAGTGCTTGTTGCTATGACGCGTCTTTGCTCAGCAGCTTCGCTCATTGTAAACCAACCAATCAGTGCACATCAGTGCTCATTTAAATATTCATGAGCATAGCATAAAAGGAAGAAAACCTGTCATTTCATTCTAGGGCTTTGAACCAGGCTTGCATTAGAGTTCATGGAACAGCAAATATGCCATTTTCAACCCAACCAATGTTACACACCCTATTCAGCACCAAATACCTTATATAATCATTCTATGGCCCCATTAAACTTCTCCACAGCTTTCTTCCTGACCTGTTTGCTGTATTTCTTAGTCTTTATTACTAAAGCCTAACTAACAAACTGAAGCCTTCACATGGCACCTACTTAAAATTAACCCTTTGACCGCCTGGCCAATTAAATCGTTAACGAGTTTCTATACAAAATGGAAGTTGGGGGTTGAGAAGGCAGTTAAAGGGTTAAAATAAACAGTGGATTCTAAAACCCTAATTTGTTTATTCTGAAGCAATCCACCCATCATTCCATCTTTTGCTTGTTGTCTCTGGCAGTGTTTGGACCATTAGCAGGAAAAACATTGGACAACTCGACCCAACAGTAATGTTAGGTTGAGCTGGAGTGTCTGTAGAGAATATTTTAACTCTATAGAGAAAATCCTCAAGGCCAGGAATCGAACCAAGAACCTACAACCATCCCCACTGTGCAGCCCAAAAGTCAAATGCACACCACACAGACGTAAATACTGAAAGTACTGAAAGCTATGTAATGTGTTGCTTTGATTAAGGTTATGCACAACAACCTGAAGGCCTATTGTTAAAAAATCTCAATAGAGTGCATTGAATTTGATTGTTGTCACGAGGCTAATATGCAAAAATGTAAAAGTACATGAATTATTTCTACAATGCAGAAAACTCCTTAAGATTTCTTGCAGGAAACTTAAGGAGTTGCAGAGTCCAATATCAGTTGCATCTGTATAAATCTATATTTTAGGTTTATACAAAATATACCTTGAATCATTTTGTTCTTCTAGATCACACTTAAATATCCCAAATTATCGTTTTAAATTTCAGTGCTGAATATTTTATAGTTTTGAACACAACCCAGGCCTTCAGTTTACCCTCTTCAGCCTCTTTCAGATCCGTTTGTATAATCTGAAGGTAAAGGATCATGTCAGCTGTGTGTCTAAATGAGCGCCCGGGTGCTTGTCTCTAATAAATCTCTGACAACATGTCACCAGTCCCTGCTCTATACAGTCACACTAATGGATAGGCAACCATTGGTGTTTGTTTGTCATACCCTCTGCTTCCCCCAGAGATATCCCATGTTTCTTGTCAACACATATATAAAAATGGTGCTGTCCAAACTTTTCTCTGGGTTTTTTTTTTTTTTTTTATCATTAGCCGATTCAGCTGCAATATAGAGGCCGAAATAAATAGGAAGCAAAGTTATGATGCTCTTCCAGATTTGCAGCTGCGGCTTCTCTCTAAAACAAACAGACACTGGATCCGGTCAAAAAGCCATTTTTATAAAAGGTTCCTCCCTGAGTGAAATGACCTATAAATATTAAAGTGATAGCCATGATAAGTGCTGTTCAAATTTCCCAAATGCTGAGGAAATGAGCTCCAGTGCTCGCTTTATTATCTGATTCAGCAATACATTCACTGTCCAATGTGAAAGGAGAAAGAACATTTCTATCCCACAATCCTTTGCAGCTGCAGCAGTTAAATTATATTTTTTATGTTTTAAATCTGTTGTTTTTTTGTCTTTCACAGGAGCAACATCTGGACTTATTTTCTGTTAAGCTGTGTAACCGTCCTGTGGCCTGAGCTACTATAGTTCCATGAACAGCTTCATGTTCTCCTCTAGATCAGGGATGTCAAACTGGTTCCAGAAAGGGCCGTGTGGCTGCAGGTTTTCTTTCCAACCAAGCAATAGCACACCAGACTCCAGTCATTTTATCAAGTGAGTCCTGTCTTAACATGATGACTTGGTGAGATGACTCGAGTCTGGTGTGCTACTGTATTGCTTGGTTGGAAAGAAAACCTGCAGCCACACGGCCCTTTCTGGCACTAGTTTAACACCCCTGCTCTACTGTAGATGATCCACTAGGTCCTGGCTGTCAGTGGTCGACTCTAGTCTCATAAACAAAGCTATAGACTTAGCTTTTTACCTGCTTTGTCAAGCAGAGCCACTACTGCCACTAAACTTTGTCTTTTCTCTTCTGTTGTAAGTTGCCCTGAGAGAGTTGTCATTTGGCGCTAAATTGCTAAATCTGATTTGAACTGAAACTACTGTCAGAACACTGCTTCTGTGCTTTCTAAGTGTCTGCAGCCTCGATTTAAAACCCCAGTCAGCTTTTCCAGAAGGCTGTTCACACAGATCCCTGTTTTGGAGATTCCTTATACATGATAATTTTTTTCTCTCCACAGTCGCTACATGCATTCCTGGTATGATGGACTGCTGCAAAGTAAATAGTGACAGTGTACAGGCAATGTAACCTGGGAGGATTACATTCTGCCTTAATTAATGCAATCTGTTAAGTTTCAGTATGTAGAAATGTTTGATCAATCTGAATGCTAATCTACACTTAAAAAGTGTCTTTATGATTCCATTTAATAAACTTTTTTATTGAAAATGTTTGTGAGACAATATATGCTGTCATATGGCTCTACATAAATAAACAGAGAAAATAAAATACAATTTTAAATAGTCAGATTATTTAGGGCTGATGTTAATGAATATGAACACTGATATCTGGGGCACCAAATTATAATTACCTATTTCTATATTCCTTTCTTCACTCACAAGAACATTTCACCCAAATTTTAAGATTTTTGCAAGTTATTTACTTAACAAATTCTCTTAAAGCTACAGTGTGCAATTTTCAGCGACATCTAACGTCCAGACTGCAGACCGCAGCAACATGAACATCTCCCCCCCACTGCTTCTGCCCCCCAACAGTACGGCGAGCGTTACGGGACAAAATGTCTTCCACAACGTCCGCATCACCTACCTTCTCAAGTGATGAGGTTTG